GATACAAATTTATAACTATATTTTAACCTAATGCAACTGAAAACTGAAAACTAAATATTTTACTATCACAAATAAAATTTACCTAACTACTTATTAATGAGTATATGATGTCGTTCAATTGCCTTCAAATAGTTTATTTATCAACAAAAATGTGAAGGCATAAAAATACAAAAGCAGTTATATAAAAAAAACCTGAAAAAAGTACACGATAACAAATTCTAGAGATTGTGCAAAATATATTCCACTGTAGCTGCTCGTTATGTACAACACAAATGTCTTGGTAGGGAAGCTTATTTTACTCCTTCATATTTTTACTGACATTATATCTATGATATTGCGTGGTTTATGTGTGCAGTGGAAGCTGTTGTTTACTCATTAATATTTTAATACAACACACCGTTCTAAAAGTTTAGTAATTAAAACATCGCAGCGGATATGAAAAATTGTAGAATCCAGATTCATCTGTATGATAGGTATTTCACGTTTTAAGCGTTCAATGAAGGCTATTTATCATTTTAGATGGAAGCATACATGATGGATATGGGCATGATATCTATCTAGAGGAGAATGGTCGTTGGGAAGAAACTGATGTCGACTACACACCATACAAGAACATCATTTCAGCAGCTTGGCCCTTAATCCGTCATAAGAACTATACGTGGGCTGTCATCGATGCTGAGACGTTAGATGTAACAAGTTATTACAAAGATGAGGATACGCTACTATTGAAAGATCCATGTTCACATCCTGATGCTATTAAGTGTGGAGTTACAGGTAATTTATTTTGAAAGGGTTATATTGTTGATTTTGATGTTGAATCAAAATTAAACATAAGTTGGTAAATAAAGACAAGCGTATCCCATTTCAATGATTTCAGACTATTGATTGTTTTATTTGCAAAAGTCATTAAATCAGAGAGGAACATATTTTGAAAGGCAGTCACCGATCATGTGCATGGTCTGTTAAAAACTCGGAGTTTATATATCATACGAAAAATGTCTGTAAATAGAATGAATTTTTAAATTGTCCTATTGCGCATTCCTGTGAGATATTTCACTTCTTAAGACAAGATTTACAAGTCTGTGCTCCGGGAAAAGACATAATTACCCTCATCGGTTCTTTTATGGAATATAAATTAATTTTGTTGAATTAACAAAGTTGACAGTCAATAGACTGTGAAAATGACTTACAATGTCATAAATTACAGACAAAGAATATGTGAATGCGATATTCGATACAAATGAGGAACTAGAACACGGTAAACGATATATCATGTGCATTTATGCCCCTCGAAAGGAGATAAAGTATGAAAAGTGGACAGAAGTGTTAGATGAAATAAAGTCTTGCAGTGATGGAGTCACTGTTGATTTAACACCACCTACACCAGGTCACGTGTGGATTGGAATTGACCCAAAAAATAAATACCAAGTAAGAGTCATATATAAACCTCTATTATAATGTTGCAACAGGAACAGTACGTAATATAACCCTTAAAAAATACTGGTACGTTTTATCAAATATCTTCATAAATATATTTTAATATTTTAAGTAACAAATATTATATTACTTCTGTTTAAAAAATTTAAACAACACGTTATAAATTTCATGCGTCCGAAACGGTTTTCTGGATTTACCTTCATCAGGAAATATTCATCTTAGAAGGGATTAAAAAGCATTTATGAAACTTGCTAAAACAAACGTAGTATTGATTTAAACAATTTGTTCCTTTAACTGAGGTTTATCCCCCTTAATTCCAGATTTAGAATAGAGAATGGAATCGGGGAATGTGTCAAAGAGACAACATCCCGACCAAAGAGCAGAAAACAGCCCAAGGCCAACAATGGGTCTTCAACACTGAAAAAAATATCCCACACCTGGAGGAGGGGTTCAGCTGGCCACTTAACAATAATGTATAATAGTTCAGCGAAATGGACGCCACACTAAACTCCGGAATATACAAATGAACCAAGATTAAAAAATAACACACACAAAACTAACAAGGGCTAGAGGTTCCTGAATTGGGAGGTACAGGCGCACAAATGCGGCGGAGTTAAACATGTTTTGTGAGATCTCAACTCTCCCCTATACCTCTAGCCAATTTGGAATAAACAAACACACAGCAATACATACAGTAAAACTCAGTTTAAAAGAAGTCCGAGTTCGATGTTAGATCAGGTAACAGAAGAAATTAAGCAACATGACAATGATAAACATGAATTAACAAAGAACTACTAGCAGTTACTGACATGCCAGTTCAATATTTCAATGTAACTGATTAAAAGAGTATCATATGAAAATCAACAACAATCCCTCTTGTTAGGGGTTTAGTTTATGTGTTTGTTTTTATAGTGATTAGGATTATAGCACAATGTTGACTGCTGAACCCCTATTTTTGACATTTTTACCAATTATGTCTGTTTGTTTTGTTAACTTATTGTTGTCAATATAATGAAATTTTATGCGACTGTCATACAAGTGAGAGGTTTACCTAGCTATAAAACCAGGTTTAATCCACCATTTTCTCCATAAAGAATGCCTGTACAAGTTCAGGAATATGACAGTTGTTTTCCATTCGTTTTAATGTGTTTGAGTTTTTGATTTTGCCATTTGATAAGGGACTTTCCGTTTAGAATTTTCCTTGGAGTTCGGTATTTTTGTTATTTTACCTTTTAGTATCATTTAATTCCGAAAAATGCCACCTTTAATGACTTGACAACAGTATCATAAATATATCCCTTGTGATTGTGAATAAACCTATTTAAAAGGTTTGGTTAGCTTTTGGATGAATGACGACATTTTTGTGCTTAGTATAGAATATTACCATAACAGATAGGTTGTAAAATACCTGAACGTATAAGATGTCTGCACGTTGATTTACGTTTACAAATGATGACCTTTGTAGCGATGATAAAATTTAGTAGAAGTTTTGACAAGATATCGAAAACCCTGGTTTAATAACTTTTCAGTAATACAGGAAGAGGCAGTGTTCATCGTTAGATTTATCTTTATTTAACCTAAGTTCAACAGGATAAATCTTGTTAGTGTACATACTGCAATCGTCATTATTGAGAGCCAAAATATCATTTAAATATTTAGAACTGTTATTAAATTTTTGTACCGGATGTTGTTTCCATTGGTCTTTGCTGATTTTAGATTCGTAACAATACAGAAACAGGTCCGAAATAAGCGTTGAACAGTAAGTTTCCATTTGAATTCCGATAACTTGGCGATATATGGAATCTCCTAGCGAACAAAAATGTTATCTAGTAAAAATTCAAAGTGCAGTTACCATATTGAAGCAGATCCAATTTTCATTTCATTTGTTTGTTGTTAATAAAAAATTACTTTAAAGAGTTTTAACATATATTTTTACATTCTGACTTTTTAAATTCCCATCTAGTTATACTTTGTTCCGTACGGTATAATGTCTTTGACCCGTCCGTCCGTCCGTCCGTCTGTCTGTCAGTCAGTCCTAATCTTGTCATCGCAACTCCTCTGAAACCACACAACAGAATTTCATGAAACTTTGTAGATGATAAGGACATACTATGTAGATGTGCATATTAACAGATAATTTTTATTATTAAACTTGTTTTCTTAGAGTTTTGCCCCCTTTTACAATGTAACTTAGAATTTTGACTTAAATATACCACTGCAACAGTTTGTCAACGCAACTTCTCTAAATCCACATAACAGAATTGTATGAAATTTTGTTGATAATAAGGACATAATATGTAGATGTGCATATTAACAAGACTTTTTTATCAGCTGACTTTTGTAGGAATTATGAGTCTTTGAACTTAGGAATCTGTTAAAATTCTGTTTGCCCAGTGACAATGTGAGGGCGATGGGTATGTGAGCATGCTAACTCAGGTTCTTTAATTAGATATGTGAAGTTTTTCTTAATGAGATTATTGGGCAAAGTAGTATAAAGGGTAAAAAATTCAAAAAAAAAAAAGACCAGATGCGAAAGCACCAATATGTGCATGCAACTAATAAGTACTAACAACAAATTTTGCATCCCAAAAGTAATTAATTCCACTATTTTCGTAGACCTTAGTTGAAAAATGTATTACCAGGTTTTTGATTTTACCAAGTGTACTACAAAGTAGAATAGATAGTTAAGTAGTGGAACCATGGCTTAAAAACGAAATAAAACTATCTTTGTAAGGTGTTTCGTGCAGCTTCGGAAGCCAGTACATAGTTTGAGCTTTCATGTTATTCGTTTATGTTGTAAAGAGGTAGCAAAAAGTTTAACGATGTCATTTTCCGAAAATTGAGTCAGTTATATACATTTGTGATTTCCTTTTGCAGAACCTCAATATAGAATTTACGTCAAACAATAATGATATTATTGGCAGCCTTATCAGCCGGACAAAAACAAATTCCTTGTCGATTTCTTTAAGCTTATGTTTGATACTAGAAATAGGACTATTATGGTTGTTAGAAGAAAAATGTCCTTTAAAATGTTTAATACGAATATCAACTATTGCATTATCGAATTGAAAAAAGAATCTAATTATTTTTTGACAGCTTTATCTCGATTTATCCATGTTTTACAGTAAGTATGGAGTGAGTCGTGAATGATGTTACTACACACATTCCACTTCATGATTGACGGAGGACGATATCTATGTCCTTTTCTAAGGAATGATTCTACTCTCGGTTCTGTACTATGTTAAGGTCTCCTGTTATAGTATGGGAACTGGGGCCATAAGTGTATTTTTAATTACTGCAAGTTCATGACGTAGGTGTGTTGTCACTGATATAAACATATGTACATATCCGCTAAATTCAAAAAAAATTTTCCGGGTGGATTTTTGTAAACATAATAAATAAGAGGGTGCTGAGTATTATCAAAATAACCAGGAATTTGTTCGTATACAGCATTATCATTAAGAATACCGGCAATGGCCTATTAATGCTAGTATTTATATTGACAAGAATAAGTTTGGTGATAGCTGCAGAAATATATAAGATGAAAAGCTTCTATAACACGTTTTTTTAGTCTTCCTCATCCGAGATATTCGTCAGCTGGGATTCGTTTACCGATGTAGAGGAGTATAGAAAAACTGTGCATTCGTCAGGCATAAAAGAATATGAACTTGGAATAGGTAAGATTTTTTCAAATATGAAAACTAAAAACAAAACCCTTGCATAACTTAAAAATCTTGATTGTAGTTCAATGTATATAGCATGAATACTTGTATTATGAAATGTTTGGATAAAATATTATTTTGAGCAAGGCTGCAGTTATGTATGTCAAGTCCCATGCTTTTTACCAAAAAAAATCAGTATTGATAGTTTTTGACGACTTCTATAATTTTGTTTTATTAACTGTTGCTTGTTTTCTTGTCGTTTTTCGTTTTTTGTCAAGGCATTGTCAGTTGTTTTCGACTTTCAATATCACTTTGGTATCTTTCGCCTCTATTTTGCACGCATTAACTTTTATATATTTGGTAGATGAAAATGATATTTCGTCAATAACTGAATATAGATAAACTTATCATAAATACCAGGATTAAAATTTTGTACGCCAGACGCGCGTTTCGACTACAAAAGACACATGAGTGACGCTCAAATCAAAAACGTTAAAAAGGCCAAAATAAAGTTCGAAGTTGACGTGCATTGAGAATCCAAAAGTTCGAAATGTTTTGCCAAATACAGCTAAAGTAATCTATTCCTGGGGGTAGAAAATCCTTAGTATTTTCAAAAAAAATAAAAATTTTGTAAACAGTTAATTTATAATTATGACCATATAAATGATAATTCATGTCAACACAGAAGTCCTGATTACTGGGCTGGTGATACCCAAAGGGAGGAAACCTTCACCAGCAGAGGTATCGACCCATTTTCTCATCAATAGATACCAGCGTTAATATTGTGTACGCCAGATCTTTCAGCATTTTGGTTTTAGTCTGATTAAAATTTCGTAAAATATAATAAATGTGTTGGAATAAAATAATTGCGAAAACAAGTTTTTTTTTTATTTACACGATTTCGGATTATACTTTTCAGGATCTACAATGGGAGGAACAGACATATATTCATATACAAAAGTTGGACTTGTAAATCATTACACAGTACATGGTTTGCGATTACAAAATGGACATGAATACTATGCAACTATAAGAGGTATTAAATCTTGAACATTTTACAGCGAATTCATTGCAGTAACATACATATAAAAACAGATATATTCACTAAAAAACTAATGAGTGCTTAAATATCTCCATTGAACTTGAAATACATTGTATTAAGGATGCTACTGAAGCTAGAAGTATGCTTCATTTCTTGACCTTTTCTTAATATCGAAGCAGATAGACGAATTCAAACTAGAATATATGACAGTAGTGATTGGTTTCAACTTTCCAATTGTAAACTTCCCATTATGCAGCAGTAATATACCCCTCTTTCCACTTTCCATTTGTAAGACGTCTATAATTACATATCCCAATTTGTACGTTTGCCATCACGAATTTGTTGAACAGTTGCGATTTGTCTGTGTCTCAACTCGCAAGCGACATATTTTTGTGGTCTCTGACCTTTAAATACCAATATCGTCGTGTGGTCTGTTAACACCCTGATTGTGTCAAATTCTCCATTATGACGTTTTGAAAGAATGAATGTAGACACATCGACTAACCAAGTTTGCTTTTGAGCACATGGGATTCCTTTCGTTTTGTAAATTACTTTGATTTGCGTTATCCTCTGAATTTATGAGGTTTTGAACATCGGTTAAACTACTGTTGCTTTTAATTCATAGCGTTGGATTTTGCAAAACGAAGTGCCACAGCAAATTCACATCCAGTAAAGATTGATGGCACACCACCAGAAAAATCTGATCGGCCAATAACTATAGAAGGACGTCATTTATCAGATATCAGTGAAATAAATGCATGGTTTGTATACATGTTTAATATATTAATTAATGAACGTTTTTCCTCGACCAAACTGCGGCTGAACGTCGATGATATAGCGATTCATAAACTAAAAGGGAGCAAAAATTCGCTAACAATTAAAAAGTGTGTACACCATGTTTCCAAAAATGAATCAAGAATAAATAACAGATTCACTGTCAAAGATTTGCCATAATCAGCAATGACCCTTGAAGGACAAACGGCATAACTCTGGATAGTGGAACATTTTAATATTCTATGAAAGCTAACCGGGATTTGTATTGTAAACATATTCACTCTGAATTTGAAATATGACAAAAAAATAACATATTCTTCCTGTAAAAAAAATCAATATAAATCATAACAAATGTATCATCTTTTTTATTTATCAACTAAGATTTTCTTTCATATTGTACACAAAGCTGGAGAGATGTGTTCCTAGATAAGGAGAGTGGGATTGACCATTACTTATGGTCGATAGGATCCCATCCTGGATATGATGATATCATATCATTTACAAAGATTTTGTTAGACTGTGGTGTGTCAGCTGAAGATACAACAATTGATATTCACGAAGGTCATGCCTACTTCATCACAGTTAAGGTAAAAGGGAATATACAACTTAATATGGATGAAATGAAAAGTGAATATAATTTCACAATTCATCGCAGCTGATACATGTGATAGTATTATTGAATTAATTTTGTAATGAGTACGTTTGTCAATTGCCTGAGCTATCTTAAATTCAAACGTATGTTATCGATTTCTGTGCAATTGACACATGTTTTTAGAACAACCTCCAACAGGTATCACCTTGACATAAGATCTAAAAAACAATATATTTAAACTTCTAAGGAGCAATTAACACAGAAAATCTAAAAAAACAGCTTAACTTTTTTTAGATACACTTTGTCTGAATGCTTAGCTACCTTTCTTTTTTGTACATTTATATATAGTACTGCAACCAGAGTTCATTTTTTAAAACTTTAATGTTCCGGAAGAACACACACCTAAATTATATATCGATGGAAAGAGGAAAACGTGTACAATAAGAAAAGTTTGGTCGTAAAAATCACATTTTTGTGAAATTTGGGTCAAAGGTCAGGCCTAAAAATATCAATATTTCAACCACAAGGACACAAATGAGAAATTTTCTTATATTTATTCATTAGAATGCTACAAAAACGGTTCAACCATAAGCATATGCTGTGAAGTATGTTAAAACGACAAATTTGACTATTTATTTGAAGAGCTGCCATTACAAAATGGCGTTGATCTGGATCCTTCTGATTTTTTTCCATTTCTGACATAGCAAAAGTAGGAGTGGCCTTGACCTTTTCACATCCATTAACTTTCATATTGCTTATAATTTTTTCACTACAGTATATTACAAAATTTTTTCTGAACTATAAAACAACAGTTTATCAAATTATTTCAATATTTTTTCTATCTTTGAAAAAAACAAAATTCAAGCGCTGAAACAGTGTTTTTAATTTTGCATCTAAAAGGTTGTGTTAATTTGGGAAAATTAATAATTATTTATACATATTATTGTGTATTTGCAAAGTCCGGACATATCAGTTATAACACCAAAAATAGCATAGTCAACCGAGGCGAATGCAAGGTTTAAAAAAAATCATAAGTGTGACTTGCATTAATTTAGCGGTTGGTTGAGTGTAAAACAAACTCAATTTGGTGCATGAACATCTTAGCGGGATTATCCTGGTAAAAAAGTGTAGACTCATCAATTTTTTATGGAAGTAATGGAAAATATAATGTAATGCCAATTTGCTAATGTTGTAATTTAAAATCGGTCAAGACCCTTATATAACTTGCCTTTTTAAAGCTACATGCAATAGCTCTAGTCTTCATTAAATAGGGATATGAATCAATCTCTTCGTCATCGTATGCGGATTCAGTACGCGTATTAGCATTACAACATACTTCCCTTTCTTGACACAAACAAGTTCGGTGCAGGGCAGAGTTTGTTCAAAGCAAACACAGCTTTTGAGCACAAAGATTTACCTTTGCAAGTACAAAGATAATCTTGTAAGTATTCTGATGTCATGTGTCCCTTGAAAAATGTCGGGGTTTATCCTTTTTTGTCTTCCAGGCCAAAAATCTAACCCTGAAGTCAAAAAGAGTTTCTATATCCGGTCTAAAATGGAATAACTTGATGGTAAAACGTTTCCGACTAAACATGAAAATTTCCGATATATTTTGACATGGACCACAAAATTTTCAAAGGAATCTCTGATGTGTTTTCATTTTTTTCAGCACAATTTGAAATGTTTTTGAAAGCATTCGAAACGCGAACAGGACCTCTCTTACCTTTGGTATAATGAAACAGTCGACAACGATGATGCACTGTCAGTCAGTTGAAAAGTGTTATCTTGACCTCTCTTCACTTTCATCTGACGCAAACTGGAATCAATTGTGGAATGACAAACCTGAAAGTCTGCTCGTGCCATGGAATGAAACGTTCCTTACTATCAATTGTCTCCGTGTTGAGGCCTATATTGTCGGCACCTTTTTGTATCAAACACTCCCCTTGGTGTTTTGAAACAATGCCATTTAGAGCGTAAATACCGTCTTGATTCGGTCAAACTCATGCATGGCAATGCTTGTCAGGTATAGTCTTACCTCTGCATAGGAAACACAAAAGCCATGCGAGGACAGAGTTTCTATCAATGTTCGTGACCCATATTGCCATATTTATTATATAACTGCACGGCCAATCCCAAATGTAATGAGGCGAATGTTGATTTTGCTACAAAAACGATTGATTTTGTAATAGCCATACATGCGGGCATCTTTTTCATGGAAGGACCCGACTAGGACAGAGCTCCTAAGAGCGCTAGCGGCAGAGTGAAGTAATTGTTCCTCTTTTAATGTATCCTTGATATCTTCAGACACACCTTGGTGTAATTCTGGAAGTCTTAACATAAACTTCATTTTTTTCGGCAGCAGATATGGCATCCCCTATAGTGAGCTCAGAGCTAAACTATATATTTGAAATCCCTTGTCCCGCTGTGTCTGAATTGTATAATGTGTCATAATAACTACTTACTTAGTAATTTGTTCTGGAGTTTGGCAGTTGGGTAAGCATCAGAGACATTCTTGGGTAAAAGTAATCGGTATATGTCGAGGATGTGCTACATGAGAAAGGCCTTTTTCTGGATGAACATAATATATCATTAACAATCGTTATCAATGAATTGAAAGCAAGTTCATATTCTAATTCTTTAGTAACTGTTATACCTGATTACACAGGTGTTGACTTCAATAAATACTTGGAAATGCATGCTGAAAGGTAAACTGCATTTGAAAATAAATCTGTACTCGTTATTATCTTTACCATGGATAAATGATTACTCACATAAGCACACCTCAAAAGACTGTCAACACGTTCAGGCTACTCAATTTTGTGTTGTTTTCTGTCCTTTTAAAAAGTTTAGCTTTTACACAAAAAAAAATGTTTTCATATCCAAACTACAAGTAGGAAACTATGCGCGAGATCGTATAAAAGTGTCAGGTTGTGAGGATACATGTAGATCACATTGATCACATATTTGGCTTTCTGTTGTTATAATTTGAAGACGCTACCATTTTGCCTTCTGGTGTAAGTCTTATAACATCACTAATGATTCACAACTCTTTCGTCCAAAGAAAGCAGACGATCAAGAGAAGTTAGTTGTAACATTACCTTGTCACACACCAAATCTCTGCGAAACTTCAATAGTACTTTTTTTTCCAGACCGCTTGCATGCATATTAGTTGCCCTGAGGTTGAACATTGACATCCAATGTATTTTTTCCACACACTATCAAGCCTTCTCCTTTTGGGACTTGTATGAGTAAACTTTTTAGGACTTCCACAACTAGTCATTATCTTTATAAAAAGTCAAAATTCTATTAACAAAAAATTAACTTATTTACAGAAAGAACTACTATATATATAATCAAATCACACTTCAAAAACTCCAAATTAATTAGCTTATCCAAGAAAATGTACATAATCACATGGAAACTATCAAATTCATTGTGAAGACAAAAATAAATGATGGAGCTGATTGACGGATATGAAATTTCCGTAATAAAAAAAGGTATAAATGATGTTTTTATTTTTGAGATTTTGACAAAATTAATTGGAATTTGCCCAACAAAATTTGCATGCAGTATCGCAATAATATATTGTGTACTCTCAAATGTCAAAAACTGTTTTTGAATCATATGTTTTTCTCGTTTTCAAAGAAAAATGCGTGAAATTTCCATCTAAAAAACTGCTAAATTTAAGTTTGAAAGTTTTACTCGGGGATGGTATTATATTTATGTCTCTATCATTCCGATGATCCTTGATGATATGTGCCTCGAAAATATTTACGAAAAGAGCCGGAAATTTAACAAAATAATTTTGTTTTTGGATTTTAAGGTGACTACCAAAAACCGTAAATTGAGTGGTGCCCCATTAAAGGGCTAAAATACAAAAATGTGACCAAAAATTTTTTTTACGACCAGACAGAAATTAAATATAGATTTAATTCTATCATTTAAAACAATTTTCAGCTGTGTGTTATTCCGGAACATTAAGCTCGTTAACTGAACGTCTTTTCGAGGTCAGTTGCAGTACTAATAGCTCGTGAACAAGACATTTTCAAACAAAATGTTATGTTTAACATTGCAACCAAAGTATTAGCTACTGTTTGATGGCACATGTTTTGTCAGGGAACAGACAACCCACCAGTCGCGGTTCCGACCAACAGGTGGGAGATACCCAACATAATTTGTTCAAACGAATATCAAATTCGGCAAATTACGTTATAACCTTTTGGTCAATTTTCATGGTTATAACTTTGCTTTGACTAGTATATGGTAATTGTCCTAAGAAGGAATATGCATTCTTAGCAAGATATGCCTGTTATGTTAATTTGCGAAACACCTTGTATCACTTCATTTAGAGTTAATGTGATTTCTATTTTCGTTTTGTTTTTATTTGTATTTTCTTAATTGATGAAGAAACAGTATATTTCGGATAGTGCATAGACAATTGGGTATTGATAAAATAATTCTTCACTTGACACTGGTTTATTTAATCACCTGGAAATAGCAAGAGGACCTAATCTTTAAAATTCTCTACTCTGTCAAAGTATTCAGAAGAAATTACGAATTCGACTTTTTATCGATGACAATAATGCTTTTTATAACGTATTATTATTTGATTTATAAAACTGATTTCTGAATTTATTTATTTTCAAAGATTTTTATTGAAAAGAAATAATTCAACAAGCAAAAATTCCATTTTGAATAATCTTCGCCTTATTAAACTTAACTATAAGAATTTACTTTATTCAGTTTTGCTTTTTTATTCTCAAAGGCAGTTAATAGAGCTAATCTAGTCAGTACTGCTTCCTCTTGGGCTTACATATATGACATGTCGCCTCCAGTTGCTGGTCATGTATACGATGGTAGTCAAGAAGCTGCTGCTTCTTATATGAAAGATCTAGATTACCAAACAGATGCGAAGACCCTATCTGCTTACTGGGAAGGATTTCATGATCCACATTCTATTATCAAGTCATATTATGTCAGCATTGGAACTTGCCTTAAGTGTGAAGATGTATTAGTCAATCAGGATATAGGAATATCCTATAGTAAGTTTTTTTTATGTCATTTAGACAATGCCTTTGTGGTTGTGTTGCTTGTACTAAACAGAATTGAAGCTTCTATAACTTGAAAGATACAGGTCAACTGTCTCATTGAAGGATCAACGATTAAAATGTATTTAACAGCTTTATAAAAATATTAGACAACAGCCTTAGAGGCAGCCATTTATTGGTCAAGGGAATCGCAATGGTCAATGAATACAACGATATAAAGAAGATATGTCTGACAATTTTTAAACAAAAAGACATAACCACAACAGTCGGTTCGTATCTAAAATTGACGTAATATGTAACATTTGCTCAGATGTTTTATGAAGATTAATATGAGCAACTGTTGTATAATGCTTTTCATGAAAACAACTTTTTTATTATAACAAATGATATCCGATAAAAATGTTTTTTCAAAGATGAGTTGCACATCGTTGATAAATTCAAATGTGGCGACATAAATTTGTAATGCCTACTCCTATTATGTTATATTATTTTTGATTGTATCTGATCTTTAAAATCAGTTGTATTTTGTCAGATTTTACCCTCTGTCATATGCATTTGGGATCTGGTATACGATACTATACAACAATCACAGCATGTAATACCGTAGACTTGTGTACATCTGTCACGTCAGATGGTGTTATTATTGACAAAAGTCCACCAACACAAGGAATAGTACTAGATGGTGTAGATTTGCATGACTTGGAATATCAGTCATTAAGGTCAGTCAGATGAACAGAAGGATTTTCAAAAGAATTGTTTTATATAGTTTTTCAAAGTAGATCATTATGTATATTTAAATAGTTTGCATATGGTCCGAACTACATACCATTGTTATTCTGTTTTGATATGTTACACATGAACATTCAGATAGTGCATTACAATTGATACTCTTTTCCCGAGGGTATCACTCATAAAGTAGTCAACACTTCTGTGTTGACATGAATTATCATTAATATGGTCATAATCATAAGTTGCCTGTTCATAAAACTTTGAAGATTTCGAAATACTCAGGATTTTCTACCCCAGGGATAGATTACCTTAGCTGTGTTTAGAAAAACCTTTCGGAAATGTAGGTCTTCAATGCTCTGCAACTTCGTTCTTTATTTGGCCTTTTTGACTTTTTGATTCGAGCGTCACTAATGAGTCTTTATAGACGAAACGCGCGTCTGGCGTACAAAATTTTAATCATTTCACTTATGATGAGTTTATTTATAATCCCCAGTTTTACAAGCAGTACTTTCTTTCTTATCTATTTCACACAGAAATTACATTTCTGCAAAATGGTATGGATTTACGGATCCACAATCAGGTATCGACAGATTTGTATGGCGAGTCGGAACAAAACCAGGATCAGATGATATTGTAAAATCCACACATTTACCACGCTCTGATGTCTTGGTGGAACCAGATTTACTTCACAAACTTCCAACAGGACAGCGTATTTATGTAACGATAAAAGCTTATAATAAAGCAGGTATATAATGTATATTTATGTAATTTTCTGTAAAAATGATTTATACAACATTCTTATCCCCAAAAAAATACAAAACATCATTGTGTACAATAGGTCAAAATGTGGTTTGTGCTTTAATATATTAAATATGATTACAAATAAAACAATTCATTTGAATCTTATTTTCTTTCTTATTATTTTCTTATTCAGAAAACAAACTATAGCACTTGATGTAAAGATGACGGTGAAAATGTTTCTTTTCTGAGACATGCAATATGTGTTCATTTACTTTTCGTACTCTATGCATTCTGAATTGTTGTTTGGTAAGTTTATTTAAAAATGATTAACGAAATATTACCGTTTGATTTGCAGGACTAAGTACAGAAGCAAATTCAAACGGTTTCTTCATCGACGACACACCACCGTTAATAAAGGTTAAACCTTACTTGTCAACATATTTAGGTTCAATAAAAGACAATTCTGTAGTATTCAGAGGTACCATACAAATGCATTGGGAGGTAGAAGACAAAGAATCGTTTATACAGCGTCAGTACCTCTCCATTGCATCACACAAAGGAGGGGAATTCAATACATCTTCCACTGAGGTAATTATATAATTAAGAGAAACGTATTTTTAGGCAACAGACGTCTTAAGCTTGGATTTTTCAAGCTTTTCATTAGTGCTATATTCTTCAAACAGGAAATTAATAAAAAAAAAAAGTAGTGTGATCACATTTAACAGTTGAACTAAGAATTTCATATCACTTATAAATAATGACCGAATGCGTTCTTTTTATAAACAAAGAGTCGGAAGATACAAATGGGACATTTATAGCTCATAAATCGAACAGCGAATGAAAACACCATGACAAAACGAAAGACGGCGAAAAGACGAACAAGTCCGCAAAACAATACAGAGAAGACTAAAGTGGATAACTTGAACCCCCCCCCCCCCCCAAAAAAAAAAGGGGAGATCTTAGGTGCTCCAAAAGAGAAGCAGATCTTACTCCCGTAGTGGAACCCGCCATGTTGTTTGTGGTAAGTTCACATTCGGTGACAAGTCTCATTTGGTGATGTCGCAATTGTGGAAAGAAGGACTGCATTGTAGTGACAACAAGTGGCACATATCCATGATCGTATGTGAAAATATGTAATAACGTTTAAATTTTACGTGAAATTAAATCTTCAGTGTTGGAGTCCTGTTTAAATGAAAACAAAAGATTTATCTGATTAATAAGTTTTACCAAAGAAACAAATTATTAAAAATAATCTCCATTTTGTTTTATTTTTGTAGTTAAATGGCATTGTTAGAGAGTATACATTTTCACAACTTGATTTACATGATGGTGGTAATTATACGGTAAAACTCATCGTTTGTAATGGTGCCAAAATATGTGTTGAAGCCGAATCAAAAGGGATTCTGATTGACAGTTCTACACCAACTCCTGGTAATTTAAACATGTTAAAGAAGCTTTCTGATCTGTATTTGAACCGTAAGCGTAAAGTTCAATGTCGTTCTCAACTTAATATATTTTGCCTCAACGTATACATACAATCTGGTAACCTCGTTTAAAAATTTTGTATACATTTATAGCGAGATATTCAATCATGTTGTTATGACAGATTACACTAAAAACCAAGGAATATTTCGCATACAAATATAGTTCATAAGGATTCCCAAATTCGCGGCCATATACTCGTGTTATTTATTTACAATGATTGTTTAACATTATCAGTGTGTTATGTTTCTATCTTATACAATTTGAATGCTGACTCTGTTTTGCTTCATGCTAGTAATTAAAACTCATTATTCGTTTCTTCCAAAAATAGACGGAATTTAAAGTATATTAAATGCTCACTTGTTTTGCTAGGCATGTTTGCAATACAAACTGATCATGCAGCAAATCTGCATCGCCATGTCGATGGCTGGATGACTTGGTCAAAGTATAAGCTTTGGTTGTCATGGTTAGGGTTCACAGATCTTCATACTGGAATAGACAAGTACTTTGTATCCCTTGGCAGCAAGTATATGACAGATGATTTTAATAAGGTAACAGCTAATTTTCAATATTGTGGACATTTTATATCAACTCTAAGATATTCTGAGGTATTAATACACTATAATTTGAATAAAATGCAATTTGATAGTATGCACTAATTAACATAAGGGTACAGTACTATTTTTCATCAACGCAGACACTATCTGAAGACCATTCTAGCAAAAGAATGCCTTTAAGATGGCAACACCTTACGGAATTTTAGGTCACTAATACCATTCAATTTCGGACTTTATTTGGCCTCTTTATATTTTTTGATTCGAGCGTCACTGATCTGTCTTTTGTCGACGAAACGCACGTCAGGTGGTCAAAATATTAAGCCTGGTATCTATGATGAGTTGATTTAATTTGAAAGAGCTTTGTGATGTCCACCTATTCTTGAATAAAATATTTAAATTTTAGATATCTGGTTCACCACAAGAATTTCAGCATAATCAGTCGGGGGTCGACAAGTTTGATGAAGGATTTGTCCAGACATTTGAAGTAGATACAAAAAACTTGGCAAAGTTTGAACACGTGTTTGTAAGCGTCTGGGCAGTAAATCAGGTAAGATGTGTTCATCTTAAATCATTACAGGTTTAACAAGTAACTGTTTGACAAAAAAAAAATGTCACGGGGCGTTTAATTCCATTTACAATAACCCCATCAAAGCGAGGATGAAAGATTTTCGGTAAGTTCGGATGCTGCCCTAACAGTTTCTTAAATATTTTTTATAACTTTAAGGGGCAAGCTGTGTCCTCTCCCGCCGTAACCAGCCCCCATAACTCCATAGCTAAACGTAAAAAACAAGGAAGTCAACAGTTCACAAAGCATATTGGACAGAAACTGACGACTTAGCAGTAGGAACGCTACCAATCATAGATGAACTCAAAGCTCTGAAAAAGGAGGCAATGATTGTTCCACAAGATGCAATCATCGTATTTCTTAGCTATAGGTAAAGTGAAACATTCCGGAGACAAATTACATTCAGTGATGTCAAAAGCGACTACAGAAAAATGCCATTTTGGATACGACAAATAAAACATATCGTTAGTTTCCGTTGCACAGATATTTCAACGGAATAGCAAATGCTCCTGTCAAACTTTTCTAATTAAAGATAGAATCTAGTGCTGTAAAATTAGTACCGTCATGTTACTTTATCTACATCACCATGACTAAAACCATGCTCACCATTGAAGTAGTTTCCTTGTAAAAAGCAACTACGAATAAAGGAAACCAAGATAGACTTCTTTAGTCGTAGTTTTTGTGTTATTAAAATTTGCTGTTACAAAATTTTGGAAATTATTTTATTTTAAGGAATATATCTCCCTCATGCAAATCTCTGATTCCTTGCCCGTCTTAGATTATACTTTTTTTGTCTTTTTTGGTTTATACCTTCTTTTTTATAATAAGCTTTGGATTTCCAAATATTTTTAGCTCATTTCCAAATATTTTTGGGTCGAGCATCACTAAAGAGACAGTTATTGTCAAAATGCGCATCTGGTGCAGTAATATTGCCACCATTAATTTTCTTAACATACCTCACTATATCAGAAAAAAATCTTAATTCGAACAAAACAAACCCAGAATATCTGTACATGTACAAACAAAAAAGCTCTGCTCAAAACTTTTCTTCTGCTTTGAATTTATTAAATATATTTTGAACTTATGCATGTACTTTAAGCAATAGAAATCAATTTCTCAAGGTATGATTGCAACTGAATGTATGCTGCCTTATAGACTTTGGCATCGTTAATTACAGATTGGCTTACCAAGCAGAATGATACATTCCCAATTTAAACTTGTACCTGGAGGTTCATTAGAATTGATTAGGAGATGTTCAGCTGTCACGTGTGAGGGACATTGTGTGTGTGCTGCTCAAGGACAACGATGCTCTAAACGATCATGTAATGATGTGACTAAAGGTATTGCAATTTTATTAAAATTGTTTAATTTCTTGTATTATCAGAGAATGTGCAATCCCCTTTCAAACGTTTAGTTTGATTAAATTGGAGACGATCTTTAACATGTTCGAAGGAAAATATTTGGTAAAACATGTAAGTTTACTTAAAGAATACGACGAAAGTATTGAGCCATTTTAACAAACAAATCCAGATGTCAACATACACTCTTCAGAAAAACTGTGCGTGTACACATTCATAAAGTATTATTGTCCTGTTCTACCAATGAATCACAATTGCTGCTTAGGAACAATTTCATGGGACTGCTTTTGATTCCAGTGTCAAGGATGAGTCTTTTGTAGAAGAAACGCGCTTCTGGTGTGCACAATTATAAGCCTAGTATATTTGATAGTTTGCTTTTCTAAGCAATGAATAGTTGTTAATACATTTTTAGAAAATACATACATCGAAAAACTGGCTTTCCAAATACCATAACGGATAGAAAACTTAACATTGTAACTAATGATGTGCACTGACGAGATTTCTAAACCCAAGGATATATAAGAGCAGAAAGTAGCCCTCACTAAATGACAGGTCAATATAATAACATTTATTTTAACTCAATATATTTTAAAAGTTAAAATATTAATTTGCTTCTAACAAATTATAGCATGAACATTGTCATATCTGTTTGCACTTGTATTTCAGCAAATAATAACAACTTGTTAGGCATATATGATATAACAGATATTCAGGAATCGTCTCCCTTCAGTGATGTGAAATACACTCCATCAAATGTCGCTATGGCTGCCAAATGGCATGTAGTACAAGCTCAGGGATTGAGGCCCTTATGGTAAATATAACATAAATCAGTTTCAAATTTAAAAAAAAAAGGGTTTAAAATGACAGGATCTAGTAAAATTTTCACATTGCATTTTTAATATTTAAAGTCTAATTTCGTATATGTAAAAGTTTAAGTACACGAATGAAATGTCGTTGATCTGATAAACACCTTGGCATGTATACAAAGGTAAACATGCTTCAACTTATTTATATTAAAGGAAATGTGTATGTTTCAAAAGGCGATACATATTAATAGATATAAGAAGATGTGGTATGAGTGCCAATAAGACAACTCTCCATCAAAGTCACAATTTGTAAAAGTAAACCATTATAGGTCAAAGTAAAGCCTTCAACACGGAGCCTTGTCTCACACCGAACAGCAAGCTATAAAGAAGTAGCCCCAAAATGACTAGTGTAAAATCATTCAAACAGGAAAACCAACAGTATAATCTATATAAAAAACGAGAAACGAGAAACACTCATGACCACATCAACAAACGACAACCACTGAACATCAGGTTCCTGACTTAGGACAGGTGCAAACAAATGCAGCGGGTTTAAACGTTTTAATAGTCGCCAACCTTCACTCTACCTGAAACAATAGTGTACCATCACAAAATAGAAATACACACTATAAAATATCAATTAAGTGTTAATTTAGTTAAGAAGGTTGACTGTTTTTAAAGATGATGATGATGATGGATGGCTGCTTAATGTCCAGCGGCATATTAATATGCATATTTAGGACGAGAACATGTTAATGTTATATGAATATTAACCCTGCTTTGTACTGGACCGACACGCTGAGTCGGATTTTTAACGTGCTGCTTCACAAGGTAACAGTCTGCAGGAAGACATATCACCTTACCAAAATACACATTATTGTGACTCCGAGCCGACCAGTCTTTGCTCGTACTCCTTAATGCCGCGTGGTTAGCGGAAAAGCACCAAATACCAATTTTGAAGTCTTTGGTTTGACCCATTCGGGGTTGCAGAACTCTAGGCGGTATTGTTTTTAAAGAAGATATTGCCTTGGAAGATTCCTGCCAAATATTACAAAGTATCATCTTTTTCTGTAATCCTTTATATATACTAATTGGTTAGAGATTTGCTATATTCAAATATCATTATTATAGAATATCAACGTTTTTGTTTAAACGAGAGAATGTTTCTCAGCTGCAATCTCATCGTAGGGGGAGAAACATCCTCGAGTTTCACAAAATCATTGATAATCTGTTTATTGCTATTTTCCTTTTCAACGTCAATGACTTGGGATTATGCCGTCATCGTGTTATCTCTCTACTCGACTGAGAAAAACCCTTCTCAGTCGAGTAGCATGATATGAAAAATATGACAAAAGAGATCAAAACAAAATTTGAGAAAATAGCGTTTCAAATAAATATGTTGTTGCAGTTAGGCATTTTTGCGGAAATTGTAGCCCTAAGAAAGATTAAAATTACTTTAAAAAGTATCAGTTATCCGCATATTTTTTTTTTGCTTGAGTTAATTTAGGGCATTATTAATTTCTAGAGCGCCACTGGTGAGTCGTTTTTGAACGAAACAAGCGTTTTTCATGCCATCATATGATTGTATAGTTTGATCATGAGAAGTTACAGACGAAACTTAGGGTGTTCACATTAAACAATTTGTGGTGAAGTTGTGGTCCTAGAATATACAAATTTGCTTGAAAGAAAGATTTTGCAAAATCTGAGTTTGATAGTTGACATATAGTTATGACATCAAGGAACATACCTGTTTGTCAAAGTTTTCTAAAATTAAACTAAAACAATACATTATTATTCATTTTAGATTAAGACATATATCAGCTCGCAAAAGCGAG